GTGAGGGTCCAGTTTATGCACCTGGAGATCGAGTCTGGCTCTCGACTCGAAACCTGCCCCTTCGTCTGCCCTGCCGGAAGCTGGGTCGGCGGTTTGTGGGGCCATTTAAAGTCCTGAGGAGATTGAACGAGGTATGCTACAGGTTACAACTGCCCAATGATTACCGCATTAACCCCTCGTTCCATGTGTCTCTCCTGGTGGTAGCTGGTCCACTCCAGGAGAATGAGATACGAGAGGCTCCTCCGCCCCCGCTGGACATCGAGGGGGCTCCGGCGTACTCAGTCCGGTCCATCGTGGATTTGAGACGTCGGATGGGGGGTCTGCAGTATCTCGTGGAGTGGGAGGGGTACGGTCCGGAGGAACGGTGCTGGGTGCCTAGGAGGGACATCTTAGATCCCTCCCTCTTGACAGAGTTCCACCGGAATCATCCAACTCGCCCTGCTCCGCGTCCTCCTGGCCGACCCCGAGGCCGGGGTCGGCGCACGGCTGGGGCCGCGCGTCAAGGGGGGGGTACTGTCACGGACTCTGCAGAGGCTGCCCCTCCTCCTTGCTCGGGCAGGCTTCGGCGTTCGTCATCCCCGGAGTACTAGCTACCGCCGATCGATGTTTCGGTGTTTGTCTTGTTTTGTCTGGAGTAGTACACCTGTTGTCTATTATGTTTGATTGTTTAGCCTATAATTTCCCTTGTCTCACGTTTGCTATTTGTGTGTTATTGTTGTATGTCTAGTTGATGTTCGGCCTAGCTATTTCTCCATTTTACGCATATGGTGTTTTTCCCTCCAGTGTTGGAGACGTTTGTTTTGTGCGTTACATTCAGTAAAGTAATCTACCTGATTCTCTGTGTCATGCGTCTGACTCCACTCGCCGCGTACACATCACCATCTGACAGCTCCTCTGTCCTCCACTCGTTACCTGTATTAATTGCACCTGTTTGAACTTGTTATCAGTATAAAAGACACCTGTCCACAACCTCAAACAGTCACACTCCAAACTCCACTATGGCCAAGACCAAAAAGCTGTCAAAGGACACCAGAAACAAAATTGTAGACCTGCACCAGGCTGGGAAGACTGAATCTGCAATAGGTAAGCAGCTTGGTTTGAAGAAATCAACTGTGGGAGCAATTATTAGGAAATGGAAGACATACAAGACCACTGATAATCTCCCTCGATCTGGGGCTCCACGCAAGATCTCACCCCGTGGGGTGAAAATGATCACAAGAACGGTGAGCAAAAATCCCAGAACCACACAGGGGGACCTAGTGAATGACCTGCAGAGAGCTGGGACCAAAGTAACAAAGCCTACCATCAGTAACACACTACACCGCCAGGGACTCAAATCCTGCAGTGCCAGAGGTGTCCCCCTGCTTAAGCCAGTACATGTCCAGGCCCGTCTGAAGTTTGCTAGAGTGCATTTGGATGATCCAGAAGAGGATTGGGAGAATGTCATATGGTCAGATGAAACCAAAATAGAACTTTTTGGTAAAAACTCAACTCGTCGTGTTTGGAGGACAAAGAATGCTGAGTTGCATCCAAAGAACACCATACCTACTGTGAAGCATGGGGGTGGAAACATCATGCTTTGGGGCTGTTTTTCTGCAAAGGGACCAGGACGACTGATCCGTGTAAAGGAAAGAATGAATGGGGCCATGTATCGTGAGATTTTGAGTGAAAACCTCCTTCCATCAGCAAGGGCATTGAAGATGAAACGTGGCTGGGTCTTTCAGCATGACAATGAACACACCGCCCGGGCAACGAAGGAGTGGCTTCGTAAGAAGCATTTCAAGGTCCTGGAGTGGCCTAGCCAGTCTCCAGATCTCAACCCCATAGAAAATCTTTGGAGGGAGTTGAAAGTCCGTGTTGCCCAGCGACAGCCCCAAAACATCACTGCTCTAGAGGAGATCTGCATGAAGGAATGGGCCAAAATACCCGCAACAGTGTGTGAAAACCTTGTGAAGACTTACAAAAAACGTTTGACCTGTGTCATTGCCAACAAAGGGTATATAACAAAGTATTGAGAAACTTTTGTTATTGACCAAATACTTATTTTCCACCATAATTTGCAAATAAATTCATAAAAAATCCTACAATGTGATTTTCTGGATTTTTTTTCTTCTCATTTTGTCTGTCATAGTTGACGTGTACCTAATGATGGAAATTACAGGCCTCTCTCATCTTTTTAAGTGGGAGAACTTGCACAATTGGTGGCTGACTAAATACTTTTTTTCCCCACTGTACATGCTTAATCAATCAATCAATTTTATTTTATATAGCCCTTCTTACATCAGCTAATATCTCGAAGTGCTGTACAGAAACCCAGCCTAAAACCCCAAACAGCTAGTAATGCAGGTGTAGAAGCACGGTGGCTAGGAAAAACTCCCTAGAAAGGCAAAACCTAGGAAGAAACCTAGAGAGGAACCAGGCTATGAGGGGTGGCCAGTCCTCTTCTGGCTGTGAATTGAATGCTGCAAGGAAAAGGCAAACATGTAATCGATATGATCAGCTCTGAACACTTTTAAATGCAAACTACAACTGCTCACAAGAAAGCTGCAACGTAAGGACCTGCACTTCTTTCAACACATGCGTTCAGAACTTGAACGTCAGGGAAGGATCCAGCACAGCCTGACGGTGCACGTTACGTGGAGCAAGTCCAGAGCATCTTATCGGAGTTTGACAGTCGTTTCACTGACTTACTGACTACCTATGATGAAAATGACAGGCCTCTCTCATCTTTTTAAGTGGGAGAACTTGCACAATTGGTGGCTGACTAAATACTTTTTCCCCCATTGTATAAGGCTTAAGCAAGCAAGCAAGCAGGCAGGCAGGCAGGCAGGCAGGCAGGCAGGCAGGCAGGCAGGCAGGCAGGCAGGCAGGCAGGCAGGCAGGCAGGCAGAGAACAAGAAGAAACACAGGGACAGCAGAGTGGGTGAGTTGTATTGATCTGGGCTGGTGTGGATACAATTGGCAGGGCTGAGTTCTCCCAGTCCTTCCCTGGTTTGGGATTAGTGTGTGTACACTACTTGTGGCTACATTTAAACACCATGTGTACAAAACACCAGACTCTCACAGGCTTCATTCAATACAGTTGTTTTATTCCTTCAGTTGGGAAGAAGATGGATACATACAGTGATAGGATTACATTCAGAACCTAGAATAGTATCTCTATGGTAACAGTGATAGAATTACATTCAGAACCTAGAATAGTATCTCTATGGTAACAGTGATAGAATTACATTCAGAACCTAGAATAGTATCTCTATGGTAACAGTGATAGAATTACATCCAGAACCTAGAATAGTATCTCTATGGTAACAGTGATAGAATTACATTCAGAACCTAGAATATTATCTCTATGGTAACAGTGATATAATTACATCCAGAACCTAGAATAGTATCTCTATGGTAACAGTGATAGAGATACTATTCTAGGTTCTGAATGTAATTCTATGGTAACAGTGATAGAATTACATTCACAACCTAGAATAGTATCTCTATGGTAACAGTGATAGAATTACATCCAGAACCTAGAATAGTATCTCTATGGTAACAGTGATAGAATTACATTCAGAACCTAGAATATTATCTCTATGGTAACAGTGATATAATTACATTCAGAACCTAGAATAGTATCTCTATGGTAACAGTGATAGAATTACATCCAGAACCTAGAATAGTATCTCTATGGTAACAGTGATATAATTACATTCAGAACCTAGAATAGTATCTCTATGGTAACAGTGATAGAATTACATTCAGAACATATAATAGTATCTCTATGGTAACAGTGATAGAATTACATTCAGAACCTAGAATAGTATCTCTATGGTAACAGTGATAGAATTACATTCAGAACCTAGAATAGTATCTCTATGGTAACAGTGATAGAATTACATTCAGAACCTAGAATAGTATCTCTATGGTAACAGTGATAGAATTACATTCAGAACCTAGAATAGTATCTCTATGGTAACAGTGATAGAATTACATTCAGAACATATAATAGTATCTCTATGGTAACAGTGATAGAATTACATTCAGAACCTAGAATAGTATCTCTATGGTAACAGTGATAGAATTACATCCAGAACCTAGAATAGTATCTCTATGGTAACAGTGATAGAATTACATTCAGAACCTAGAATAGTATCTCTATGGTAACAGTCATATGGCAGTCAGAACCCGACATACTGTAGGCCTTTGTTTTAACAAAAGTAATGGCTTTATATCATAACAGAATATATATTAATATTTTCATGTGATACAGTGCATTTGGAAAGTATTCAGACCCCTTGACTTTTTCAACATTTTGTGCCTTTTACTGAGGAGTGACTTCCATCGGGCCACTCTACCATAAAAGGCCTGATTGGTGGAGTGCTGCAGAGATGCTTGTCCTTCTGGAAGGTTCTCCCATCTCCACAGATGAACTCTGGAGCTCTGTCAGAGTGACAATCAGGATTTTTGGTCACCTCCCTAACCAAGGCCCTTCTTCCACGATTGCTCAGTTTGCCAGCTCTAGGAAGTGTCTTGGTGGTTCCAAACTGTAAGAAGTAATGGAGGCCCCTGTGTTCTTGGGGACCTTCAATGCTGCAGAGCTCAATTTCGAGTCTCATAGCAAAGGAATACTTATGTAAATAAGATATCTGTTTTTTCTTTTTAATACATTTGCAAAAATATCTAAAAACCTGTTTTTCGCTTTGTTATTATGGGGTATTGTGTGTAGATTGACGAGGAACAAAATGTGGAAAAAGTCAAGGGGTCTGAAAACTTTCCGAATGCACTGTACACAGACATAGCAGTGGAAGTAGAGGGTCAGAAAGGAGGAGTATAGAATTGAAAGGTTTGACTCAGGGAACCCTGGTCTCCTGTGGGAGGATGTTCTTTATAGTTGTCTGGACCAAACTCTGGCACAGGGAATGATCTGTGACACCTACAGAGAGATACATTCACAATCCTCATCACATTCCATTAACCCTTTCCTGATAACATCCCCCCCTTCCTACCTCTCTGTCTTCTCTCCCTCTCTCTGCTCTTCTCTTCTCTCCCCTCGCTCTCTCTCTGAGAGAACCTCTTGGACACTGCTTTGGGAACACCTGGACATCACCACCCGGGTAGTACTTGTTCAGCTTGTAATTCAGCTTTACCAAGGTTTGGGGGACCAATACGTTTTTGTTCAGTTCCTCTTGGTTCCGGCTCCAGTGTGCTTTGGCAATCCACGTTTTCTTCTTGCTGTTGTAACAGCAGTAGGCTGTCCACAGGAGATCCGGGATGTTCACTCGGTTGTTCAGTGTGTTGTTCGTACTGGGCGCTGCTCCAGTCACCACATAGGCCTTGGGCTTACCGGTATTATCTAGGCATTGGCTTAGGAGAACCTTTCTAACCTTACGCTCCATCGTTCCCCAGCTGCCGTCGTTAAATGACTGTACCTGAGGAACACAGTTGGTCAGGGTAAAAGTGGAGTTCTGATTAGCGGGTTGGTTTGCGTAACCTTTGGGGAAAATGTGCCCTTTCGTCAGCCCTGTTGGGTTTACAGAGTTGTGGAAGTCCTGATTGACAGCCTGGTGTGTATAAGTGACTCCGTCCTTCTCCAGACTCATATCTCGGTCTAGTCCTCCGTCCAGCTGTAGAAACAATATTCATAAATCATTCAATGCAGTTATACTGTATACAGGCACTGCACTGACCTGTATATCAGACCTGTATATCAGACCTAAACAGTGCCTTCGGAAATTGACTTTTTCCACATTGTTACATTACAGCCTTATTCTAAAATGGATTAAATCGTTTTTTCTCCCCTTATCAATCCACACACAATGTTAGCAAATACATTAAAAATAAAAAAAACAGAAATTTCACATTTACATAAGTATTCAGAACCTTTACTCAGTACTTTGTGGAAGCACCTTTGGCAGCGATTACAGCCTAGAGTCTTCTTGGGTATGACGCTACAAGCTTGGCACACCTGTACTTGGGGAGTTTCTCCCATTCTTCTCTGCAGATCCTCTGAAGCTCTGTCAGGTTGGATGGGGAGCGTCGCTGTACAGCTATTTTCAGGTCTCTCCAGAGGTGTTCGATCAGGTTCAAGTCCAGGCTCTGGCTTGTCCACTCAAGGACATTCAGAGACTTGTCCCGAAGCCACTCCTGCGTTGTCTTGGCTGTGTGCTTAGGGTCGTTGTCCTGTTGGAAGATGAACCTTCGCCCCAGTCTGAGGTCCTGAGCACTCTGGAGCAGGTTTTCATCAAGGATCTCTCTGTACTTTGCTCCATTCATCTTTCCCACGATCCTGACTAGTCTCCCAGTCCCTACCGCTGAAAAACATCCCCACAGCATGATGCTGCCACCACCATGTTTCAGCCTAGGGATGGTGCCAGGATTCCTCCAGACGTGACGCTTGGCATTCAGGCCAAAGTGTTCAATCTTGGTTTCATCAGACCAGAGAATCTGGTTTCTCATGGTCTGAGAGTCCTTTAGGTGCCTTTTGGCAAACTCCAAGCGGGCTTTAGAGGCCATGCAATTCAGTACTCATCTCGAAAACAAAAGCAATTTAGGTCAAAAGAGTCCATACTAACAAAGGATATAGAAGGTCTAACAGAACAGATAGATAGCAATAAAAACTGTAACATAGAGGCTCAGAATAAATTAGAGGAAAAACAAAAAGAAATGAAGAAACTTATTCAAGAAAGATCAAGTGTAATATTTTATAAAAATAAAGCAAACTGGATGGAATATGGGGAAAAATGCACCAAATTCTTTTTTAATCTTCAACATAGGAATGCTACCAAAAATAATTTATTGAAACTGGTTACAAATGACGGAGTCACCCATGATTCACCAAATTATATTTTGATGGAGGAAACAAAGGACTTTAAGCACATGTTTTCGTTTCAGTCACCTTCATCTCCTCTAACTGAAGCTAATTGTAGACATTTTTTAGATTAGGTAGATTATCAGACACTCAAGAAGAAGGTCGGATTTCATAATTACTGAAACATGATACAAGTGGAAAATATAAAGATCCAGTCCATTAAAAAAATTGGAGGCCCCTTCAATGTTGTGATGCAAAAATTCTAGCAAAATGTATAGTGCATAGAATTAAAAAGGTATTGTCGGACATTATTCATTCTAATCAGACAGGTTTTTTACATGGACGATACATCGGAGATAATATTAGGCAAGTACTGGAAACAATCGAACACTATGAAAAATCTGGGAAACCAGGCCTGCTATTCATAGCAGACTTCGAAAAGGCATTTGATAAAGTACGACTGGGGTTTATATATAAATGCCTGGAGCATTTCAATTTTGGAGAATCACTTATAAATTGGGTTAAAATCATGTATAGTAACCCTAGGTGTAAAATTGTCAATAATGGCTATTTCTCAGAAAGTTTTAAACTGTCAAGAGGAGTGAAACAAGGTTGTCCACTATCGGCATAACTATTTATTATGGCCATCGACATGTTAGCTATTAAAATCAGATCCAACATTAATATCAAGGGATTAGAAATCCAGGGCTTAAAAACAAAGGTGTCATTGTATGCATGTTTTCTTTTAAATCCACAACTTGAATCCCTCCACAGCCTCATAGAGGATCTAGATACATTTTCTAACCTCTCTGGATTACAACCAAATTATGACAAATGTACTATATTACGTATTGGATCACAAAAAAATAAAAATTTTACATTACCATGTAGTTTACCAATAAAATGGTCTGATGGTGATGTGGATTTACTCGGAATAGTGGGGGGAAAAAGTATTTAGTCAGCCACCAATTGTGCAAGTTCTCCCACTTAAAAAATTGAGAGGCCTGTAATTTTCATCATAGGTACACGTCAACTATGACAGACAAAATGAGAAAAATTTTGGTTAAGGGGGACATTTCCCCCGGGTTTTACCCCGGGGGTATGGGGATATGGGGGTTATTTGGGGCCCAGCCTACATTCACTGGGCCCCCCGGGGGGGACCCTCCCCTTTTGAATTTTTTCCCCCCGGGGGGAATCTTGGTAAAATGGGGAAATTTTTTGGGATTTTTATTTTAATAATTTCCCAATTTTTTTTTAAAAACCCCCCTTTAATTTGAAATTTTTTCCAGGTGGGTCACAAGTTTTTTGGCCCTTTGGCCCCATAGGGGATTTGGGGTGGATTTTTGGGGTTTGGGGGGTTCACTAAAAATTTTCCCCAAAAGGTAAATGGCAAACAAGGTTTAAAAGATTTCCCTTAAACCAAAACTTGGGGTTTTCCAAAAACTTTTTTCCCAATAATTTTACTTCATTAAACCCTAAAAGAAATTTTTTGGTTTTTTTTTTAATTTTTTCTTTGAGTTTTACCTTTAAAAAAATTTTGGGGATTTTTTTAATGGGGGAAAATTCCAATTGGGGTTAAACCCTTTTCCCCCCTTAAAAATGAAAAAAATGTTAAAAATTTTTAATAAAAAGAAAAAAATGAAAATTTTTTTGGGGAAAAAATACCGGGTTTTTTTTAAAATACCCCTTAACTTTTTTTACCCAAACAGTTTTTTATTTTTGGGAAAAAAAAAAATTTTTTTAAAAAGGAAAAAAAAATTTAATTATTTGGAAAGGGAACCGAAAAAATTTAAAAAAATTTTTATTAAGTTTAAATTAACAAAAGAAAAAATTTAAAAATTAAATCACTCTTCAGATAAAAAGTTTTTTTAAACCAATGTTCCAAAAAAATGGTTTTTCCCCCCAAATGTTAAAAATCCTTTTTCCCTTTATTCAGATTACAACCCTCACTTTCAGTTATATGAAAAGGAAATAATCTCCCAAATATCACTATTTCTAAAACAAGCCATAGAAAATGTTGGTTGCAATTTCAATTTAATCCTCCAGAAACGACAGAACAAATAATGCAACAAATTTTGTGGTTAAACTCAAATATACTAATTGATAAAAAACCTATCTTTTTTTAACAAAATGTTTAAAAAAGGTATAATCTTCGTAAATGTTATCATCGGTAGGACTGGTGGAGTTATGTCGCACATGCAGCTAACAACAACATATGGAAATGTCTGCTCTACCCAAAATTACAACCAAATAATTGCAGCATTACCGCAAAAATGTAAGCGGGAAAAAGTAAGGAACTTGTCTGTCGGCCCTGCATTAAAGAACATAATTGGTTAAAGAAAACTGTGATAAATAAAAAAGTATACCAGTTTCATTTAAGGGCCAAAAGATTGACAGCCGTCCTATATAGATTGCAAAATAGTTGGGAAGAGATTTTTGACGTACCGATTCCATGGCATAGCATTTATGAACTGATACGCAAAACGACGCCGGATTCAAAACTTACCATTTTTCAATTGAAATTACTATGTAAAATTCTTGCTACCAATAGAATGTTATTTATATGGGGGATACAATCTTCCCAGCTCTGCAGATTTTGCTGCGAAGAGACAGAATCATTAGATCATTTGTTTTGGTACTGTCCATTTGTAGCTTGTTTTTGGACACAGGTCCAGGAATGGCTAAAGGATTGCAATATTTACCTGGAGCTAACCCTGCAGATAGCATTACTGGGTGATCTGAAAAGTCATAGTCAATCGATCAATAAAATAATAATACTTTTTAGCAAAAATGTTTATATTCAATTTACAATCTGTAGAAACATTGAGAATAGAAAGGTTCAGAACTTTTGTAAAACATCACAGTACAGTTGAAATATATATGGCAAATAGAAATCCTATATGGATGGTTTTAAGAGATAGATGGGTGGTGTTGAATGGAGTTGAAGGATGAGACTAATAACAACTAACAACAACTAATAACAACAAGATAACTAATAATGTAAGCATACTGTGTCCATAATAAGTATATAGGTTATAGGTTGAGAGCTTTTGTGAAAGAGCACAGTTAGAAAGATATGGCATATAGAAGCAAACCGGATTGACATCATGAAAATGATCGGAGAGGTTGAGGAAGTTCATGAGTAAAAACAAACAAAATAGAATTATTGTAAAATTGACTGTGTCCATAAAATGTATATAGTATGTATAAGCTGGAAGTAGAGGCCTAAGCATTGTTGTTCACTAGTTTACTCCAATTAGAGAAGGGGTGGTGGGGTTGGAAAGTAATAAAGGGAAATATATTTTTTTTAAGGATATGTATGTATGTATGCATGTATGTATGTATATATGTATATATACAGCTCTGGAAAAAATTAAGAGACCACTGCAAAATTATCAGTTTCTCTGGTTTTACTATTTATAGGTATGTGTTTGGGTAAAAATAACATTTTTGTTTTATTCTATAAACTACTGACAACATTTCTCCCAAATTCCAAATAAAAATATTGTCATTTAGAGCATTTATTTGCAGAAAATGACAACTGGTCAAAATAACAAAAAATATGCAGTGTTGTCAGACCTCGAATAATGCAAAGAAAATAAGTTCATGTTCATTTTTAAACAACACAATACTAATGTTTTAACTTAGGAAGAGTTCAGAAATCAATATTTGGTGGAATAACCCTGATTTTCAATCACAGCTTTCATGCATCTTGGCATGCTGTCCACCAGTCTTTCACATTGATGTTGGGTGACTTTATGCCACTCCTGGCGTAACAATTCAAGCAGCTCGGCTTTGTTTGATGGCTTGTGACCAACCATCTTCCTCTTGATCACATTCCAGAAGTTTTCAATGGGGTTCAGGTCTGGAGATTGGGCTGGCCATGACAGGGTCTTTATCTGGTGGTCCTCCATCCACACCTTGATTGACCTGGCTGTGTGGCATGGCGCATTGTCCTGCTGGAAAAACCAATCCTCAGAGTTGGGGAACAATGTCAGAGCAAAAGGAAGCAAGTTTTCTTCCAGGACAACCTTGTACGTGGCTTGATTCATGCGTCCTTCACAAAGACAAATCTGGCCGATTCCAGCCTTGCTGAAGCACCCCCAGATCATCACCGATCCTCCACCAAATTTCACAGTGGGTGCGAGACACTGTGGCTTGTAGGCCTCTCCAGGTCTCCGTCTAACCATTAGATGACCAGGTGTTGGGCAAAGCTGAAAATTGGACTCATCAGAGAAGATGACCTTACTCCAGTCCTCTACGGTCCAATCCTTATGGTCTTTTGCAAACCTCAGCCTGGCTTTTCTTTGCTTCTCATTGACGAAGGGCTTTTTTATAGCTTTGCACGACTTCAGCCCTGCCCTTAGGAGCCTGTTTTCGAACCGTCCTCGCCGTGCACTTCACCCCAGCTGCCGTTTGCCATTCTTTTTGTAGGTCACTTGATGTCATCTTACGGTTGTTGAGTGACATTCAAATGAGTTGGCGGTCATCCCGGTCAGTAGAGAGTCGTTTTCGACCCTCTGCCGGTCTGTAGCTTTGTTGTCCCCAATGTCTGCTGCTTGACCTTGTTCTTATGAACCGCCGTCTTTGAAATTTTAAGGATGGAAGCAACCTGATGCTCACTGTATCCCTCTGCCAGTAAAGACAGAATTGAACCCTTCTTTTCCTCAATCAAAACTTTCCTTTTCAACTCTTTTGGCATGGTCAATAGTTATTTTTTGATTAATATTACATTTGAGGTACAATTAGCACTTTTTTTGCCATCCAGCTGGTCCTATTGCAAGAGGATAGTGATTATACTTTTCCACGTTAAATAAGATTTGGTTCAGGTGATCACCTAATCAGTACCTAATTCAGTAGAATGAGGTGTGCCTGTGTTGGAATTCAACAGACACTGGAATGGAATGGCTTTCATACATGTAGAGATGCTGATTTAAGAAAAATGTGCAGTGGTCTCTTAATTTTTTCCAGAGCTGTATATATATTTGCGAGAACAAAAAAAAAAACATATGGGGGATTGGAAGTGACGCAGACAATAAAAAAATTCAAAATAAATAAAAATAAAAACTCCAAGGGGGCTGTCATGTGCCTTTTACTGAGGAGTGGCTTCTGTCTGACCACTACCACAAAGGCCTGATTGGTGGAGTGCTGCAGAGATGGTTGTCCTTCTGGAAGGTTCTCCCATCTCCACAGAAGAACTCTGGAGCTCTGTCAGCGTGAACCATCGGGTTCTTGGTCACCTCCCTGACCAAGGCCCTTCTCCCCCGATTGCTCAGTTTGGCCGGGAGGCCAGCTCTAGGAAGAGTATTGGTGGTTCCAAACTTCCTCCATTTAAGAATAATGGAGGCCACTGTGTTCTTGGGGACCTTCAATGCTGCAGAAATGTTTTGGTACCCTTCCCCAGATCTGTGCCTCGACACAATCCTGTCTCAGAGCTCTACGGACAATTCCTACGACCTCATGGCTTGGTTTTTGCTCTGACATACACTGTAAACTGTGGGACCTTTTATAGACAGGTGTGTGGCTTTCCAAATCATGTCCAATCGATTGAATTTACCACAGGTGGACTCCAATGAAGTTGCAGAAATATCTCAAGGATGCTCAATGGAAACAGGATGCACCTCAATTTCGAGTCTCATAGCAAAGGGTCTGAATACTTATGTAAATAAGGTATTTCAGTTTTTTTATTTTGGAAACTATCCAATACAGACATGCAATCTTGCTAGACAAGGACAGTATTAATGGTCTATTCAAGGTTATTGTTCAACGTTGGCATTAAATGTCGAATTTGATTATTATTTTTTAATTACCTGAGGTTCAATCATCCATGTATCTGGTCTTCTCTCGCTTGATCCAACCCCAGTGAAGGTGAAGGCTGAGAACACAGGGATCTTGTTTGTTGTGTCGTAGAGAGTTGCAAACATGTAGGTGTTGTAAACTTCCTTTTTCTTCATGTATTTAAACAACTGGCAGATAGGCTTGTAGCGGTTCTGGTCCTTGACTGTCCCATCAACCAAAATACCCGGTAGATTTGGAGTTGTCCCCTCCAGGAAGAAATGACTGCACTCTTTAACTTCGCTGAACTTCCCCACTACATGAGAGAGAGAAGGAGGAAGGAGAGAGAGGAGGAGGAGAGTAGAGAGATGATTCAATACCCCCATCATCACCTGAAGACTGGACACCACAGAGACAAAGATGAAGTTACAGAGACCAGTTGGTAGACTGGAGCCTGCTGAGCTGAGACAAGACAGACTGCTTTAAATAGGTTTTCAGAGACCAGTTGGTAGACTGGAGCCTGCTGAGCTGAGACAAGACAGACTGCTTTAAATAGGTTTTCAGAGACCAGTTGGTAGACTGGAGCCTGCTGAGCTGAGACAAGACAGGCTGCTTTAAATAGGTTTTCAGAGACTCCTCCTTCAGATGTCAAGACAGATAGGGTTGATTTGCATAAACTCCTCTGTATGCTTACATGGAAACTGCTGTAACAAATAACATGTGACCCACCTACTGAAGGCCTATTCCATGGGACTGTATGGTGATCAGGCCTCTGGGCCTTTTAACAAGAACCATCACAGACATTTTAATTTACTTCATGTTAATTCAACATTTTCATGGGCCCTAACTCTGCCATTGAGAATGTCATGTCTTGACTTTTCCTTGATAAGTGTTTTAATGAAATGGGGTGATTTGGGGATTTGTTTTTGGACGGAAGCGGTAGAGATCAGTCAGGAATTGTACTTCTGAAGCCAAATATCTAATTGATCCATTAAATGACCGGGTATGATGGTGCATTGATCAGTTATACAGCTTAAAGCTGTTATTTTGCATTTTTGCCCAAAGTCAACCTTTTAACACATTAACTTTGTTTGAACTTCATTTCATAACCAAAATCTTAGGAGGACAAATCATTTTGAATGTTCCCACCCTTCCTTCTCCTGACAGTTGCCTGGCCAACTGATTATAAAATGCCCCAGATGAACCTTGACCTGGTAGTTTAATGCAGAAGGAGTGAACGCTCTCTGTACCCTGAGTTCTTCTTCCTTTCTCATGATCTAAGGATGCCTCAGGTGGTAAACAGGCCACTGGGTAAACAGTATCTTACTGAATGATGAACTATTCTATCATGAGATCTGGGAGAAGGTGTGTCTAAAGAAAACAGAGCACCTGGCCTACAGTAGTCTGCTACAAGCAGTCAGCTTCCTTTTCGTTTTATTTATACAAGTTACCAGATCAACCTGTACTTGTTTGTTTGGCATAATTATTTGACTTGCAAGCAGTCCGTTGCCAACTAGTGGCCTTGTGGGTGGTGTCCACCCTGATAAGGTGTTGGGGGTTTGTAGCCTCACGCTACAGAAACAAGAGATAGGTTCTTGAACTTTGGGCCGTTCTGGCTTGGACAAGACTTACTTACTTAAGCAGTCAGTTGACAATTAAAACAACATTTCACTCATTCTGCATCCAAACAAACAGGTTAAGGTTGATCTTGTGAATTTGATGAATAAACTTTAATAAAATAAGGTCTATTGACTTTTGAGGATTCTCTTATGGAGAAACAAAAACAGGCTTCTCCTTCACAGTGTTGAAACGGTGAGAAATGTTGTTCACATGGAATAGGCCTGAAGTTACAGCAGTGTCCATGGAATAGGCCTGAAGTTACAGCAGTGTCCATGGAATAGGCCTGAAGTTACAGAAGTTTCCATGGAATAGGCCTGAAGTTACAGAAGTTTCCATGGAATAGGCCTGAAGTTACAGAAGTTTCCATGGAATAGGCCTGAAGTTACAGAAGTTTCCATGGAATAGGCCTGAAGTTACAGAAGTTTCCATGGAATAGGCCTGAAGTTACAGAAGTTTCCATGGAATAGGCCTGAAGTTACAGAAGTTTCCATGGAATAGGCCTGAAGTTACAGAAGTTTCCATGGAAAAGGCCTGAAGTTACAGAAGTTTCCATGGAATAGGCCTGAAGTTACAGAAGTGTCCATGGAATAGGCCTGAAGTTACAGCAGTTTCATGGAATAGGCCTGAAGTTACAGCAGTTTCATGGAATAGGCCTGAAGTTACAGAAGTTTCCATGGAATAGGCCTGAAGTTACAGAAGTTTCCATGGAATAGGCCTGAAGTTACAGAAGTTTCCATGGAATAGGCCTGAAGTTACAGAAGTTTCCATGGAATAGGCCTGAAGTTACAGAAGTTTCCATGGAAAAGGCCTGAAGTTACAGAAGTTTCCATGGAATAGGCCTGAAGTTACAGAAGTGTCCATGGAATAGGCCTGAAGTTACAGAAGTTTCCATGGAATAGGCCTGAAGTTACAGAAGTTTCCATGGAATAGGCCTGAAGTTACAGAAGTTTCCATGGAATAGGCCTGAAGTTACAGAAGTTTCCATGGAATAGGCCTGAAGTTACAGAAGTTTCCATGGAATAGGCCTGAAGTTACAGAAGTTTCCATGGAATAGGCCTGAAGTTACAGAAGTTTCCATGGAATTGGCCTGAAGTTACAGAAGTTTCCATGGAATAGGCCTGAAGTTACAGAAGTTTCCATGGAATAGGCCTGAAGTTACAGAAGTTTCCATGGAATAGGCCTGAAGTTACAGAAGTTTCCATGGAATAGGCCTGAAGTTACAGCAGTGTCCATGGAATAGGCCTGAAGTGTGACGCTATGGTTAAACCCAGCACTCAGAGAAACAAAACACGACTAAGGGAGTGGAAGAAACAAAAATTATTTTAATAAAAGTTCAATTTGTCTTAGTCCAAAAACAACTGAACAAAAGGAACAGAGTGGGCTAGTCGGCTCCGGAGGAAGGAGAGGCTGAGGCAGGCAGGCAGGCAGGCAGGCAGGCAGGCAGGCAGGCAGGCAGGCAGGAAGGCAGGTTGGGAGGTATGTCTGAACTGAAGACAAAACAAACGACAGGTTAAGGAGAGTAAAGAGCCAGGCTGAAGACAAAGACAATTTAACTCTACTGGTGAGCCAAGTTACCGCTCTAGTAAGAACAACGATCTGGCGCCGGTGGAGAGCCATGCCCAGGAATTAGTAGTGCAGGTTGATGAGAGAATAGGATGCAGCTGCGTAGGCAGGAATCCCTGGAAACAACCCGCAGCTGCACAGGAGAGGCAGATCCTGAGCACGCCCCCTGATCCACTCCAGACACACCCACATAATGGGGACAAACACACATACAGATACAACAGACACAGAGGGGACAAAACAAGGAGGAAGGGAAACAGAAAAGGGAGAGACAAGCTGCCCACATAACAGTACCCCCCCCCCTCAATGGTCGCCACCTGGCGACCCACCAGGCCTGTCAGGGTTGTCGTGATGGAAGTCCGTGATCAGCTGAGGATCCAACACAAAACTCTTAGGGACCCAAGACCTCTCCTCTGGTCCATAACCTTCCCAATCGACTAGGTATTGGAGACCCCTACCCCGCCTCCGAGAGTCCAGGAGCCTACTGACGGTGTAGGCCGGATGGTCGTCAATGAGGCGAACAGGTGGAGGTGGATCTGCCGGCGGACACAAAAGGCTGGAGGACACAGGTTTCAGTTGGGAGATGTGGAAAGTAGGGTGGATCTTCATGGCTGAAGGCAACTTCAAACGAACCGCAGCGGGGTTAACGATGGACTCCACCACAAACGGACCCGGGTACCGAGGAGACAGCTTGCGTGATTTGGTACGAAGAGGTACGTTCTTTGATGACAGCCAAACTTCTTGACCAGGATGAAACACAGGTGCGGGAGTCCTGCTCCTATCCGCTGTCGTCTTGTTCCTGTCGGTGGTCCGAAGCAACGCTTCCCGAGCATCGCTCCACACTCTCTGGCAGCGGCGGAGGTTCTCCTGAACCGAAGGAACAGCCAATTCCTTCTCCTGAGCAGGAAACAGAGGGGGTTGATAACCCATGGTTACTTCGAAGGGTGAAAGGCCGGTGGCAGAGGTGGTGAGGGAGTTGTGGGCGTACTCTATCCAAGGCAGATGTTTGGCCCAGGATGATGGATGTTGAGCAGCCACACAACGAATGGTTGCTTCGAGGTCTTGATTGGCTCTTTCTGTTTGACCGTTGGTCTGGGGATGAAACCCTGAGGACAGACTAACGGAAGCACCCAAAGCAGAACAGAAAACCTTCCAAACACGGGAAGTAAACTGTGGGCCTCTATCAGATATGATGTCCACAGGTATTCCATGGGGACGGAATACATGTTGGACTAGGAGGTCAGCTGTCTCACTGGCAGACGGTAATTTTGGTAATGCTATATAGTGAACAGATTTAGAGAATCTGTCCACAATGGTAAGTATAGTATCATTACCTTCAGACTTGGGTAGGCAGGTGACAAAATCCATGGCTATGTGGGACCAGGGACGGCTGGGAACTGGGAGGGGTAGCAGCAGCCCCGAAGGGGACTGATGGGAGGCTTTGCCCCGAGCACAGGTTGAACAGAAGCCCGAACGTCAGTTTCCATTAAAGGCCACCAAAAATGTCTCTTAAGCAGCGTCAACGTGCGTCTCATCCCAGGGTGACCAGCAAAACGGGAGGTGTGAATCCACTGCAACACCTGAGACCGGACCGTCTCGGGAACAAAGAGTAGGTTGGGAGGTCCATCACCCGGTCCCGGGTCCGTGGCAAGTGCAGTCTTCACAAGAGACTCGATCTCCCACTGTACTGCCGCCACGACGCATGAGGAAGGTAGGACTGCCTCAGGCTCGCTGGTCTCCGAAGGGTCAGCAAACTGGCGGGACAAAGCATCTGGTTTAACATTTCTTGACCCCGGTCTGTATGTTAGAATAAAGTTAAACCTACTAAAAAACAGGGCCCATCTGGCTTGGCGTGAGTTGAGTCTCTTAGTGGCTTGGATGTAAGCCAAGTTTTTGTGGTCTGTCCAGACACACATACAGATACAACAGACAAAGAGGGGACAAAACAAGGAGGAAGGGAAACAGAAAAGGGAGAGACAAGCTGCCCACATAACATGAAGTTACAGAAGTTTCAGGGAATCCCTCTCTCCCTCTCTCCCCCTCTCTTTTCTCTCTCTCTCTTTCTTTCTCTCTCTCCCTCGCTTCCCCGTTCTTCCACTCCTCTCTCCCCCCTTTTTATTCCTTCATTACTGATTGAGGTAGAAATGTTACATGTATGATTTCCAGGTAGAAATGTTACATGTATGATTTCCAGGTAGAAATGTTACATGTATGATTTCCAGGTAGAAATGTTACATGTATGATTTCCAGGTAGAAATGTTACATGTATGATTTCCAGG